CACGGAACATACTTGAGCAATGTACTAAGTGGAACAGGGAGTTGTATGTAAATTTCATCGACTATTGTAATGTTCATGTAAACCGGAAGTTATCGATACCGGATGTTCGCTAGGAACTATGGGATATATGTAGCAGAACGATCATGGCGTCCACCGATGCTGTAACACGTCTTCTTACAACTGTTTATTAAATCGTTGTTAATCGTTTGCATCTTGTTTTGAAATCCATTCAAAACATCACAAATGGCGACGAGGATGGGATGCAAGTAATCGAAGACGGAAATCTTTGCGTTTAAAGTGTTAAATCAACCGGAAAATCCTACCGATCAACCTTGTTTTCAATGCCTGCAGATTCTTCATCAACCACTTCGCCTTCGCAGCCTTCAACAGCTTCTGCAATGGCAATTAACCTACCGACCTTTCCTGAGTTTGATCTTCAACCAAGAGATACAGTACCCGTTCGCTTTGAGAAGTATGTCAAACGTTTGGACAACATGTTTACAGCAATGAACATTACCCGAGCATCTCAAAAGAAAGCCATGTTATTGCATTACGTAGGAGAAGAAACCTGTGATGTGTTTGAGACCCTTACCGTTCCAGAACCGCCGGAAGGAAGTGACGAATACAAGACGGCCGTAAAGGCTCTTGCTGATCATTTTGGGCCTCAAAAGTGTGTGGATTATCACGTCTATGCCTTTCGTCAGGAAATGCAAAAGTCTGGTGAAAACATTACCGAGTTTTACACACGTCTCCAGCTGTTAGCACGCAAGTGTCAGTTCGCCGATCCCGAACTGGAAATTAAGCGGCAGATTATTCAAGGAACCTCATCGCTTCGCCTGAGACGTAAAGCAATCGAACAGAGCCTCAATCTTGAGAACTTACTGAAAGTAGCTCGCGCCATGGAAACCGCCGACGAACAGACCACTGAGATGGAGAAACAGCAATCCAACGCAGTGGGCTATGGTAGAAATAAAGCAACCGACGTTCAGCAGAAAGAGAATTCTCGTGGTCTACCAAAGCCTGGATTGCGTAACAATATGTGTGGTTTATGTGGTGGAAATTACCCACATCAAGGAACTTGCCCTGCTCAAGGTAAAAAGTGTTTGAACTGTGGCAAAATGAACCATTTCTCCAAAGTTTGTCGTGGCAAACCCAATAATCGGTCCAAATCTTCGCACCCAAAGAAACCGTCAAAAGGTAAACACCATGCCAGGTCTGCAGATGTTGAAGAGTCTCCGAGTAGTGAAATGTCACCTCTAGCCGGTGTTGATAGTGACAACAGCGAAGAGTATACCTTTAACATTGGTGCACAGGGACACCAAGCTGGCAAGCCTATCTTTCAGGTCACGATCATGAACACACCTATCCGCAAAATGGCAGATTCAGGAGCAACCGTGAATATCTTAAGCAAGAAAGACTTTGATGGCTTTAAATCAAAGCCACAACTGGCTGAAACAAGTGCCAAAGTGTATCCATACATGTCTGATAAGCCACTAACCCTGTGTGGAAAGTTCCGAGCTACTGTCACCAGTGGTAGCTGTTCATCCGTGGAAACATTCTATGTCGCAAAGGGTTCATCAAGCTCCATACTTAGCTGGACAACCTCACAAACATTAAATCTTATTAAAGCTGTCAGTACGGTCGAACCTCCTGGTAACCTGCCACCTGATGCCCCAGATTTTCTCAAGGAATTTCCTAATCTAACCAGTGGAATGGGCAAGTACAAAGGTGAACCAGCACACATACATGTAGATCAATCTGTCAAACCCGTGGCACAGCCACATCGCCGAGTCCCTTTCCATGTAAGGAAACAGGTGGAGGAAAAACTCAAACAGCTTGAAAATGATGACATCATTGAACGCGTAGAAGGCCCCACCCCTTGGGTATCGCCAATTGTTGTTGTGCCCAAGCCGAATAAACCGAACGAGATTAGAATTTGTGTAGACATGCGTTCATTAAACAAAGCTATCATCAGGGAGCAACACATCATACCCACCATCGATGACGTAGTGTCGGACTTGAACGGTTGTAAAGTGTTTAGTAAGATTGACTTAAATCAAGGGTACCACCAGATCCCATTGCACCCCGACTCGAGAGCACTGAGCACGTTTTCTACACACGTTGGACTGTTCCAATACAAACGTCTCAATTTTGGCCTCTCGTGCGCAGCAGAAATCTTCCAAAAGAAGGTGGGTGATGCAATCCTTGGCATACCCTGCGTCAAAAACATCAGTGATGACATCTATGTTGGGGGCGCAGACAAGGACACTCATGACCAACATCTGAGACAAGTGTTCCGTCAACTCCAGGAGAGTGGTCTAACAATAAACTTACCTAAGTGTCAGTTTCGAGTTCCCACTATGCTCTTCTTTGGCCATGTGTTCTCTGAAAAGGGCATGTCACCTGATCCTAAAAAAGTTGAAGCTCTTCAAAATGTTGTGCCACCGACCAATGTATCTGAAGTACGAAGCCTCCTTAGCTCGGCTGCGTTCTGCTCTAGGTTCATCAAGAACTTTGCACTAATCTCCAGACCTCTTCGACAGCTGACCTGTAATGGAGTGAAGTGGCAGTGGACTGAGGAGGAACAGTCATCATTTGAACGCCTAAAAGCGGCACTATCTACCAAGACTACCCTTGCATACTTTGATCCAAAGAAACCTACTTCCATCTTTGTCGATGGTAGTCCCATTGGTATAGGTGCTGTCCTGACCCAGAAAAATGTTTCGACTAATGAAGTGACACCTTTGCATTATGCCAGTTCTCCACTGACACCAACTCAAGCTAGATATCCACAGATTGATCGTGAAGCTTTGTCAGTTTACTGGGCTGTAAAGCGCTTTCACTTGTTCATCTATGGAGGGGAATTTAAAGTAATCACAGACCATCAACCTCTGGTTTCCTTGTTTAACAACCCCACCTCTAAACCGTCCGCCAGGATAGAACGTTGGCTCATGGAGCTACAGCAGTACCGATTCACAGTAGAATATCGCCCTGGTGCTTCAAACCCAGCAGATTATGCTTCGAGACACCCAGTAGGAGACTTGGAATCTCACAATTATGAAATCGAGTCTGAAGATCACATCTATTTTATTACAAGAAATGCAGTACCAAAAGCTGTAACATTGTCTGAGATAGAATCTGCAACCGCAACAGATCCAGTGCTACAAGCGGTTATGTCTGCAATGAAATCTGGTTGCTGGCATTAGGCGCCACCTGGTGTATCACTATCTGAGCTATCCCGCTACGAGCAAGTCAAGGAGCAATTAACCTGCACTGACACTGTCTTGTTAAAATCTGATCGCTTAGTAGGTCCTGCTTCGCTGCAAGAACGAATTGTTGACATCGCCCATGAAGGTCACTTGGGCATAGTTAAAACTAAGGCCCTCCTGCGAGAGAAGGTGTGGTTCCCATGCATGGACAAGATGGTTGAAACAAAGGTCAAGGCCTGTTTACCGTGCCAAGTTGTAACCCCAGTGTACGCTAGAGAGCCTGTTCAAGTATCAGCTCTTCCTGACAGCCCTTTTGATGAAGTAAGCATCGACTTTGCGCATGTTGAGGGTGAAACCCTACTTCTACTGGTTGATGATTATTCAAGGTTCCCGTTCGTAGAACCAGTGTCCTCAACGTCCGCTAGTGCTGTCATACCTAAGTTAGATCACCTTTCAACGGAGAAGAGTTTGCCAAGTTTGCTCATGCGCTTGGTTTCAAGCATCGCAAGGTAACCCCATTATGGCCTAGGGCCAACGGTGAGGAAGTGGAAGGAAGGAACTGGAGAAAGGAACTGCAAGCGATTCTGAGAAACTATCGCACCTCTCCTCATCAAACCACTGGTGTGGCCCCAGCAGTATTGTTACTGAAACGTCCTGTGCGTAACAAGCTACCACAAACCAACTACGTTGACCCTATGTCGGAGATCGTCCGCGAACGCGGTTTCTTGCAGAAATCCAAGTTCAAGGCTCATGCTGACAGCAAGGTTTATGTGAAACCCAGCACTATCTCACCTGGTGAAACCGTACTAGTGAAGAGACCATTTACTGCGTCTAAAGGTGCAACTGTTTACGACCCTACCCCCTTGACTGTAGTGGATAAGAAAGGCAGCATGATCACAGCTCAAAACGAGAATCGCACAGTTACCAGAAATTCCTCTTTCTTTAAAACTCTGGACCAGTCAGTCATCAACCGTGATGATGATCCGTCCCATGACAGTGGTCTCAGCTCTCCAGCTGACATCAAACACCAACAAGAGCTGCCTGCTGCACGTACACGTGCTCATGCTTCTGACCCGTCTGCATCAAAACCTGTGAGCTCCCCTGGCGTGCAAGCTAATCCTACAAGTTCATTTAGCCCTATCCCAGAGGGCCAAGCTGGTGCATCTCACCCGGTTGGTCAACCACCATTGCGTAGATCTTCCAGGAAACGAGTTCCCCGCCAGATTCTTGATTTGTAAGCCTAGATTCTTATTGAACTGTGAACTCTGAACTGTGGCAGTATAGTTTGTTAAGTTAAAATGCTGTCGCCTGTACAAAAACGTTTGTTTTCGTTGGACTTTGATTCCAGTCAGTAGTCATAGTTTCATGGACACTGATTAGTTGAAGTTTATTTTATTTCTTTCCATATCATTCTAGAGAGTTACCCACTAGGGAGAAAGAGATGTAATGTTCATGTAAACCGGAAGTTATCGATACCGGATGTTCGCTAGGAACTATGGGATATATGTAGCAGAACGATCATGGCGTCCACCGATGCTGTAACACGTCTTCTTACAACTGTTTATTAAATCGTTGTTAATCGTTTGCATCTTGTTTTGAAATCCATTCAAAACATCACAACTATGAGAAAGCGTTCGACAGCATTCACAGGGACAGTCTTTGGCAGATTCTGAGAGCATATGGCATTCCACAACGCATTATTAATATCATCAAATGCTTCTACTCAAATTTCACATGTTGCATTGGTCAGAGAGATCTAAGTTTTGAAGTTAAAACCGGTGTAAGGCAGGGATGTGTCATGTCGTCCATGCTATTCAATATTGCTATCGACTGGGTCCTTTGTCGAACAATGAAGATCAGCGAAGAGGCATAAGATGGACCCCTTTTACTATACTCGAAGACCTCGACTTCGCAGATGATTTAGCCCTATTGTCCCACACACGACAGCACATTCTGGAAAAGACAGACCGGCTCAGCATGTTCAGCAACCAGGTCGGCTTGAGAATTAGCTTGAAGAAGACGGAGGCCATGTGTTTTAATATCCCTTCCCCAACAAAGATCAGGGTAAGAGGACAGGACATTCCATACACCAACAAGTTCACATACCTCGGAAGTGTGCTCTGCCAAGATGGGGGTACTAGTGTAGATATACAAAGCAGATGGAACAAAGCAAAAAATGCCTTTATGAGCTTAAGATCAGTGTGGAGGTCAGCAAGCTACAGCACAAAGACGAAGCTTAGAATCTATCAGAGCTGCGAATTGTCAACTCTCCTTTACCGCTTGGAATGCTGGGGAAAGACAGAACAGGACCTCTCAAAACCAGCATCCTTCCACACAGCTAACCTCAGGAAGATTCTGAGAATCTTCTGGCCTCAGAAAATATCAAACGACCAGCTACTGAGACAAACCAAGCAGGAGGATATTCGTACACTTGTCAACAGGAGAAGATGGGGGTGAATCGGTCATGTGATGCGGAAGGCCAGTAACAACATAGCCAGAATTGCAATGCACTGGATACCTGAAGGCAAACGAAGCAGAGGGCGCCCGAAAACAACTTGGTGCAGGACAGTAGAGAAGAGACTAAGGGGGCTCAATTACAGCTGGAGCACCATTGAAAAACTGGCTAAAGATAGACAGGGTTGGAAAGATTTCGTTGCTGCCCTATGTGCCATGCAGGCATGATGAGTAGTAAGTAAGTAAGTCAGGCAGAGCAAAGTTGAATTAAGCGAGGTTTGAATCCTCATAGAAGTCGATCAACTATCTTATTCTGCCCAGTTTAGGCAGAAAGAATTAAATAGAGTGAGGTTTGAATCCTCACAGAAGTCTGTTGTATCCTCCTAATGCATATACTATGCCTTGGATTCGTACAGATAAGATTCACACACTGATCGACCATGTGCTTCCTCTTTTATTACCTACTTCATATATGAGTACATGAAGCCTGTCTGCGCTCAGTACATCATGTAATACATGACATCCCTCCTTTTCTTGAAGAAAGAAAACAATAGTCCTTAAGACTTAATCAAAACAAAACATGCGAATCTGAAAATTGGACGGAGAGCTGGTAATAACTAATTCGCTTAATTTCAACACGAGATTCACCGGTTCTAAGCAGTCCTTGTATCAAAACAACATTTAACATTTCGAATCAAAGTTCACTGTTTCAAACGAAGTTCAACATTTTAAAACAAAGTCTTTATATCTCCCAGGGAGTCTCCTCTGTCTCTGAGGTCTTCCACCTTTTGGTGTTGCTGGTGGGCTAGGTACTGTTGCTTGATCAACTGCTGCATTCTTACTAGCAGAGGTTGTACCAGATTTGCTTCCTGCACTTGCTTGTGCTAAAGGTGTGAGATGAGTTAGGGGTCTACTGGGAGGTGTTGTAGGCACTACTGGTGTAGATCCACTCATCACTTGATTTGGTACCACGGTAATTTCAGGTGTTGTCGGTACATCGACACTGACAGGTGGTTCTTCCGGATTGTCAGGGCTCACAAACTTCTTGACATGGGATGTATTCCTTGAATACTGCGTTCCACCTGGAGTTTCCACAACAACACTGTTACCGGTCTTGCTAACCACTTGGAATGGTACTGGATTAAATGGCGTGGAAAACTTGTCTCTTTTCTCTTGCCTCACCAGGACTTGATCACCAACTTGAACTTCTGATGGTTTTGCATTCATGGATTTATCAGCTATTACTTTGGTCTTTGCTTTCACTTCGGCATCTCTATCTCGAGTTTCCAGGTCCAAGTGATGGTCGGCACGTAGCTCTGGTAGCTTTCCTCTCATCTTTCTGTTAAACAATAATTCCGCAGGGCTCTTACCGGTTGTCGCGTGATCAATACCTCGGTATTTAGTCACATATCTTCTTAGCTCCTTCACCCAGTCTAATCCTTCGGCTTGGGCAATGCGGATCCTCTTCATCAGCGATGCATTTTGTCTCTCTACCTCCCCGTTGGCTTGAGGCCATTTTGGTGTGGTCTTGGTGTGAACAATTCCATTCTGCTTACAATATTCCCGGAATTCTTCGGAGCGGAATTGTGGACCATTGTCTGACTTTATGGTCAGAGGAAGGCCATGGCGGCTGAAAATCTCTTCCAGGTTGTCAATTACTTTCTCTGTGACGGTTGACATCATGATGGCGTACTCATAATAACGACTGTAGTAGTCCACAACAACAATGATTGAGTGTCCCGAAGGAAGTGGTCCTAGGAGGTCTATAGCTAGGTCTTGCCAAGGACCTTCTGGTAATGTCGTGGATCTCAATGGCTCAGGTGGGTCTGGGCGAGATACCAGTTGACATCCGTGACAGGACTTGCAGAATTTCTCTGCTGCCTTATCCATACGAGGCCACCACACCTTACTTCTTAAATTTTGCTTTGTTCCCACAATTCCTAGGTGTCCTTCATGGGCTAAGCTGATTGCCTGAGCTCTGAGTTTGTTTGGTAACACAATACGGGTACCTCTCAAGACTAGCTGTCCAATCACACACAGTTCTCCTGCGGCTGGTGCATAGTTTTTGCACTTCTCAAATCTGCCAGTTTTGATTGCTTCTCTCAGGACTTTTAATTCTTCATCTGTTGCAGATGCTTCTTCGACTTCTCTCGTGGTTAATGCTTGGGGAGTGGCACTGATAGCTGCGAATCGGATGTACTCTTCTGCCCCATGTGGATGACTCGTCACTTTGTCTTGCTTAAGCAGGCGGGAAAGAGGATCAGCTATATTATTCTGCCCTGGAGTATATACAATTCGGAAGTCGTAGGGTTGTAACCGTATTGTCCACCGTTCGATGCGGGCACAGGGCTTGGAACGTGGCCCGTAGATGACCTCCAACGGTTTGTGGTCAGTTACCAGATCAAATTTCATGCCATAAATGTATGCATGATACCTCTCACATGCCCAAACGAGAGCGAGGGCTTCCTTTTCGGTCTGGGAGTACTTGCGCTCACACTCTGTCAAGCTGCGGCTTGCATAGCAAATTGGCACCCATGCTTTATTTTGGTTCTGTAGTAACACAGCTCCGAGGCCGACTGGACTGGCATCAGCTATTACTTTGGTTGCTGCGCCTTTGTTAAAATATGCAAGTGTTCCTGCGTCAGCCATGCTCTGTTTCAGAATCTTAAAAGCGGTTTTCTGCTCAGGTCCAAAGTGGAATGGAACAGCCTTTCTGGTCAAGCTCCTTAGTGGCTCAGTGATAGTAGCGAAGTGAGGAATAAACCTGCTGCTATAATTGGCCAATCCCAGGAAGCTTCTTACTTCGCTGACGGTGGCAGGTTCCCTTGTTTCTTGCAAGGCTCTGATTCTTTCTTCTGTTGGGCCAATCCCTTTTTCAGAGAGAAGAATTCCCATGAAAATCACTCTGTCCACATTGAATAGGCATTTGTCAGCATTGAGAGTTAAGCCATGCTGCTTGAGGCGTTCCATTGTCTTATATAGGCGTTGGTCATGAGTTGCCTGATCCGGGCCATGTACTATGATGTCGTCAGATATATTATCGACTCCTTCTATTCCAGCTAAAGCTGTGGATATCTCATGTTGGTACTGCTCACTCGCTGAACACACGCCAAATAATAGACGTTTGTACCTGTACAAGCCTTTGTGCGTCACAAAGGTGGTGATCTGTCGTGACTCTGAATTAAGTTCCAATTGGTGGTATCCCCACTTTAAGTCTAACTTGCTAAAGACTTTGGAACCATTCATATTGTGTAGCAGTTCATCTACAGTTGGTATTGGGTATCTGCCACGTACTATGGCCTTGTTCGCTTGTCTCATATCGATGCAGAGTCGTATGTCACCATCTGCCTTTGGTATGATCACTACTGGATTTACCCATGGTGTAGGCCCGTCTACTTCCTCTATAATATCACAATTCAACAACTCTTGAACCTTCTTTTCTACCTTCTCTTGCAGATTGAAAGGAATTCGCCTCAGGGGTTGGGCTACTGGTTTCACTGTTTCGTCTATGTGCAATGTTACTTGCTTGGACTTCAACTTTCCTATCCCACTAAACACTTCAGGGAATTTTTGCTGCAGCGTCTGTTTGCCTTCAGCAATTGTGGCAATGTCAACACCTATTTTCAGCACCCCCAACCTCATTGCGGTGTCTTTGCTTAAGAGTGGTATTCCCTTTCCTTTGATAACCAGGAATTCGGTCTGGACTCTTCCTCTGCCCACTAGTACCTCACATGTGAAGCTACCTTTTACTGGGAGGGGTTTGCTGGATGCATAAGCGTACAATTTTCTGTCAACGGGAGCTGCTTGTGATTTACACTTGATCTTTTTAGCCTTCAGATCTTCCCATGTACATTCATCGATAATGTTATTGGTGGCCCCAGAATCCACCAACATTTCCAATTCTACTCCACCCACAGACAATTTGAGCATATTTGACTGACCTTTATTGGTGACCCTGAATGCATAATCGACTTGCTCCCCATCGGGTTTTTGTTCTTCTTGCACCTGATTGACTCCTGGCTTCTTTGGTTTGGTTTTGCAGACACTAGCAAAATGACCTTTCTTTTTACATTTTTTACATGTTTGACCTCTGGCAGGGCATTTCGGATCTCCACCAAGGTGACCACTCCACCCACAACGAGAACACTGACTGTCTCTGTTCTTGCTCTCTTTGTTTCTTTGTTGATCTTTTGGTCTCCTAGGTTTTTCATAGACCCTGTGTGCTTCTGTAGTCTGTTCACTCAAGCTAAGCTGAGACATTTGGTGTTCTACACTTTCACACTGTTCTGCAAGCTCTAATGTGCGTGCGAGAGTAAGTTCATCTCTTTCTTCAAGCAATTTACGTTTGACATAATCTGACCTGCATTTGCATAAAATCGCATCTCTTATCTGATTGTCAAAGTCTGCCCCAAAATTACAGTCTTTCCCTTCTTTTCTCAGTCGGGTTACAAACTGCAAAACGGTCTCACCTGGCTGTTGTTGGAGTCGGTGAAATTTTTGACGCGCAAAAGCGGAGTTAACTTTGGGGAGAAAATAGCCATTCAGTGCTGTTACAGCGGCGGCGTAGTCCGTTGCTTCGCCGGTGTTCGCGAGAGTAGAGAAAATTTCTTGCACATCTTGTCCCGCTAAATGGAGTAGCATAGCTCTTCTTCGTTGTCTGGTTGTTGCATTTGTACCTTCAGTGATAATCAGACCTTTGCCATCGGCAAACAATTCAAAAGATGTGAACCATCGCGTCCAGCGTGGTCCTAACGTGGCAGGTTCCGAGTGACAATCGAACTTAGGAATCCCCTTGGAAGCGCCATTTTCGCTCAAAGACATCTTGTGTCTCACAGAATTATCCTCGTCGCCAATGTTGTATCCTCCTAATGCATATACTATGCCTTGGATTCGTACAGATAAGATTCACACACTGATCGACCATGTGCTTCCTCTTTTATTACCTACTTCATATATGAGTACATGAAGCCTGTCTGCGCTCAGTACATCATGTAATACATGACAAAGTCTATCCACTATCTTTGTCGGCTCAGCTCAGGCAGAGCAAAGCTGAATGAAGTGAGGTTTGAATCCTCATAGAAGTCGATCAACTATCTTATTCTGCTTAGTTTAGGTAGAACAAATTAAATATAGTGAGGTTTGAATCCTCACAGAAGTCAATCCACTATCTTATTCTTCTCAGCTCAGGCAAAACAAATTAAATAGAGTGAGGTTTGAATCCTCAGCGGAGTTGATCCACTATCTTTGTCTGCTTAGCTTAGGTAGAGCAAACTTTAATAGACTGAGGTTTGAATCCACTATCTTTTTCTGCTCAGCTCAAGCAGAGCAAGGTTAAATAGAGTAAGGTTTGAATCCTCACAAGCGTCGACCCACTATCTTTCTCTGCTCAGCTCAGACAAGAGCAAAATTTAACGAAGTGAGGTTTGAATCCTCACAGGTGGTGATCCACTATCCTTTTCGGCTTAGCTCAGGCAGCGCAAAATTGAAAAGAGTGAAGTTTGAATTATCACAGGAGTTGATCCACTATATTTTACTGCTCAGCTCATAGACTATTTGATAGCAAAATTGAACAGAATGAGGTTTGAATCCTCTCAGACGTCGATCCACTATCTTTTTCTGCTCAGCTCAGGCAGAACAAAGTTGAATAGATGGAGGTTTGAATCCTCATAGGAGTCGATCAGCTATCTTATTCTGCTCAGCTCAGCAGAAACAATTGAATAGAGTAAGGTTTGAATCCTCACAGAAGTCGATCCACTATCTTTTTCTGCTCAGCTCAGGCAGAGAAAAATTGAACAGAGTGAGGTTTGAATTCTCACCGAAGTCGATCCACCATCTTATTCTGCTCAGTTAAGACAAAACAAATTGAATAGAGTGAGGTTTGCATCCTCACAAGCGTCGATCCACTATCTTTTTCTGCTCAGCTCAGACGAGAGCAAAATTTAACGAAGTGAGGTTTGAATCCTCAAAGGAGGCGATCCACTATCCTTTTCTGCTTAGCTCAGGCAGCGCAAAATTGAATAGAGTGAGGTTTAAATCCTCACAGAAGTCGATCCACAATCTTATTCTGCTCAGTTGAGACAGAACAAATTTAGTAGAGTGAGGTTTGAATCCTCACAGAAGTCAATCCACTATCTTTTTCAGCTCAGCTCAGGTGGAGCAAAGTTGAATAGAGTGAGGTTTGAATCCTCACAGGAGTCGATCAACTATCATTTTCTGCTCAGCTCGGTTAGAGCAAAATTGAACAGAAAGAGGTTTGAATCCTCACAGGAGTCGCTTTGAAACCTTTTTCTGCTCAGCTCAAATAGACTATTGATAGCAAAACTGAACGGAGTGAGGTTTGAATCCTCACGGAGTTGATCTATCATCTTATGAGTTCCTAGAGCATTGGATAATAAAGTGGAGTAGAGTGTGGTTTGAATCCCCACAAAAGTCGATCCACTTTCTTTTTCTGCTCAACTCAGGCAGAGAAAAATTGAATTGAGTGAGGTTTCAATCCTCACGACAGTCGATCCGCTATCTTTTTCTGCTCAGTTGTCAGAGCATTGGATGGCAGAATGTGTTAGAGTGAGGTTTGAATCCTCACTAGACTCGAATCAATATCTTTTCCTGCTAAGTTGTAAGAGCATTTGTTAACATAATTCAAAGGAATGAGGTTTGAATCCTCACGATTGTCGACCCACTTTCTTTTTCTACTCAATTGGTTGAGCAGGTTAAATGCGATGAAGTGAGATTTGAATCCTTGCAAAGGTCAACCCAGTTTTTTTCTTTTGCTTACCAACTCCAGAGATGTGAATTTTTCTTAATGTATCTTTGTATTTTAAGATGGCAAAGATAATTAGTATATGTAGACCTTGGATGATTTTTTGAATCATTTTTGTCCGCGCTCAGCTCCATAAGTTTCAGTCGCCTCTACTTTTTGTTTTGAAAGTTCCAAGTATTATAAACCGGATATAATTTTTTTGGACTTTGACTTTGAATGCCAAGAGTGCCGGAGAACAGAGAAAATACAATCCCTGCTTGAGTACAGATACAGTCCTCTGGTGGTTACGGACGACAACCGAAGTGAATCTAGCACCCTCCGGGTTTAATACCTGTATCGACTATTCTCGTTTTGATAAAAAAAAAAAAAAAACAAAACAAAAACAAAAACAAAAACAAAAGCAAAAGCAAAAGCAAAAGCAAAAGCAAAAGCAAAAGCAAAAGCAAAAGCAAAAGCAAAAGCAAAAGCAAAAGCAAAAGCAAAAGCAAAAGCAAAAGCAAAAGCAAAAGCAAAAGCAAAAGCAAAAGCAAAAGCAAAAGCAAAAGCAAAAGCAAAAGCAAAAGCAAAAGCAAAAGCAAAAGCAAAAGCAAAAGCAAAAGCAAAAGCAAAAGCAAAAGCAAAAGCAAAAGCAAAAGCAAAAGCAAAAAAACAAAAACAAAAAGCAAAAATAATACGAGCGTACGCCGAGGTACCAAAGGGTGAGACCGAAGTATGGGCCATCGACTGCACCTTTCCTCGGGACGCAAAAGTAAACAAGCACCGAGTGGAACGCACGAAACTTTCCACCCAGCTGGGATCGCTCTCTTTGGGCTGACTGCTTGAGGTTTGAATCCTCACAGGGTAAGCTGATTGTGCTTAACTAACTATTTCTTGTTTCTGTTGTTTTTATTTCATTTCTTTCGAGTAAATATTTTTAAGTTTTTCGAAAATAATATAATAATAGTAGTGTTTAGTTATTCTTAAATTCATATTCGTTACCCTAACATACGAGATATGGCACCAAGTGCACTCGGGATTCAACTTGTCCGCTGAGGGTAAACTTTACTTTACAAAATACATTCCTTCCGCTGGAAAAGAAGAGAAATTGATATAAATGCCTTGCGCTGTTAGACTTTTTCACAGAATGAAAAACTCTGCAATGAACACCTGCATTCATGTACAAGGGGATTTAGAACCTTCAAGGTGAACTGGGAATGAGATGAAAAAAGTACCAAACAAAAAGTGAAAAACCTGTTCATCCTACCAAAATTAAGCAGGCAGTTACTAAAAAAAACATTGAAATTAAAAGACAGTGGCCTTTTTCCCCTCTGGCGATCCCTTTTCTATGAGAGGTGGTGTCAAACACTTTACGCATCGTACAATACATCATTTATACAAACACCATAGTTTAGTTTTGTCTGGTGTCAACTTGTCAGTAATCTATAATTAACATTATTTCCAGAAAAAAGTTAAGAATCTCTTATGAATAGCGACAGTCTGGTTACTCATTAAGGTACCCGATGTATAAGAAACACATCAGCCTATATCCAAAAATCATGGTTAGGTTCTTTCATGCGGGTGTTGATGGTATTCGGCGCGCTAAAAACATTCCAAATTAGAAGGATTCTCATGACAAACGGTGAAGACGTAATTTCCAGCAATTGGAAAGAAAGAGGAAATATCTTAAGAGCAAAACTGCATTGCCATTTTTGTAGCACATCAAGTTTCAGTCTAACGGCTGCTTTGATTCGTAGAGTACGGTCAAGATTTATGAGACTGACTAAATATGTTTAATTAATTTGTTTTTTGTTTTTTTATTGTTATATTTTGTTTTGCTTATTTTTTTGGTACGATGTTTTCCTAAAAATGTTTAGAATTTTTGTTTTTCTTTAGAAATGTTGACTGCCGGGGTGCGGTTACAGCTCCAAAAGTTCAGCTTCATGTGATGTCTTGGCTACAGCCGTATATTTCAAAACTTAAGAGGCGAGTTTTTGGCAGATTTGAAGAAAAATTTCAAAACGATAGGCGACCATTTCGAATTTTAAAACACGACCAATAAATAGATCTTTAACATATGATCTATTATGGCAGAGATAAAACTTACTCGACTTACTTCTCCGTCTAAAAAGAGAAAAAGGCAAACTTACTTTTGAGTCTCTAATTGTGTTCCTAAGGAGCATCCAGGCTTTCCATTTAGTCTCAATCTCAGTGTCTCAAGCTTTCCAAAACCTCCACCAGTCCACGATGCAACTAAATTGGCACAGCTGTTCCAAGAAGAAATCATCTAGCCTCTCGTTGATCCTCCACCAATGGTCAGGAACGCAAACTTCAGTCGCTTTCTTTCCATAGGAGGAGTGTGCGCCTCGGTATTGATGCACAAATAAGATGGCTGTATCCTAAACAGAACTGGCCTTATCCCACTTGTGAAAGCCTTCAACAAAATCAAAAGAAAGTTAAAATCGTTTAAATTAGGTAGCAATGATTTTAAGTCAACCCAAATTGTTGCCACGGATTTTTATGAAATGTTACCAGAGGATTTGTTGACATCAGTAGAGGCACAATGTTTGGTCATTCATGTCACTCACCATCTTTGAAATTTTATTCAAAATTAGATGTAGGTAACGTAATAATTGTAATATTATCGAGATCTATGAAATGTTTTTTAATGAGCATTAGCTGGTGAAAGTTGGACCACGTAAAGCCAGCGAGGGAACTTTCTTCCTGTCCATGTTTTATGTTTACTATTCCTACGATGATATTTTATCATGCTGCCACTTTTCAATAATCAATAGTTGCTTTTACCTTGTGGTAACTTTGAAGTGTCGATATTTTGCAGAAAAGCCTAGTCTTATTCCTCTTGTGTCACTTATTCAAGCAGGCAATTTGCACCACTCGTATTTAAAGGTAGTTTGACGTTGTGAAATGCTGATATCTGAGTGATGATCTGATAGAATATAAATTCGTGGGAATTCTACCAGAAAAGTCTCGACAAAAATCATCTTGTGCATGAAAAAGTGCTCGATGTTGCTTCACTTCTCGCGTCTGCAGTGGTACAAATAGCTACCAGGCTTGAAGTTAGCATAAAGGACATCTAGTAGATACCGTTGAAAATTCAAAAATGCTTAGTTCGGCTGAGCTGCGCATGACAGTGGACAATGTTGTCGGAACTTCGTGAAGTTGACCGCAATCAAAGGCGCAAAATATTCACGTACACCGGTACACCCTTAATTTTGAATCTCACCTCGTTCATGCGATTTTGTGCTTCGCATTTGTATACGAGATGAAAATTTTATGTTTTGGCCAAGACAATACATCTTTCAGTAAGGAGAGCTAAACTGGAATTTGGCTTCGTTGAATGCACTGCAAACGAGCCATTCCCTACGGGATAGCACTGAGAATTCAGCGTGATTGTTTCACTAGCGAATTGTCAAATAAACTAAGTGAAGAAGATTAGAATGTCACAAATTCTAAAATTATGATGCAGATGTGGTAAATTCACAATTCAAGAAAGCTTTTAACAAAAAGATATCCGAACTCCCACTGAAAAGGAAATCAGGCCTGAAAAGAGTTCTTTCTGTTAACGCTAAGAGCAGAAATTTCGTCGGAAATGTCAATTAGAAAAAGTGTCTCTACTTTCTTTATTACAATTGACGGTTTGCTAAATCGCTTATACGCTACGATAGAGAAACCATGTTTCCATCTTCACCCAGTAGAAACGATCTTTCTCAAGATTCATTTCATTGTTGCAAGGCTAGCCAATATAAGCTCGCATACTAAGATTATCTCGTTGTCATTTCCTTTTATGGTGTAGGAAACTCCTTGATTTTAACTGCAATGCTATAAAAAACAAACTAACTAACTAACGAAACAAGCAAACAAAAACAGTGAAAAACACCACTCTATTTCTCTTACTTGGACAGACTTTTCACACTATGTTGAACTGATTTCTCAATGGGACACAAATTTCACTCTCATTAAGTAACAAAAAACGAAATTAAAAGATGAAGTAATTGAACCTGTAACGAGCAAAGTTGGCACTCAAGCTAATAATTTGTTCTGGAATCTCCTTCCTCCCCCCTCCCCCCATTGGCTGTTTTTGAGCTCTGCAATTGTGGTACTAGGGCAAAATACAGTCTTGGACTTTTCCAGATCGAGCTCGAGCTGCCAGGTAAGACTTGAACCAGATTGACTTATCTAGAAATCCGCTATTACTTCCTTTTTCGTTAGCATTGCCTCTCGGACTCCCTGGCTGGAAAAGAAGTGATAAAAACTAACTATTCGAAGCGGATTACTAATTCACAGTTCTCCGCGTACCTTCTTGTACGAAGAGCGGACCTATATGTGGCTCAGAAATTGAGAGAGACTGAGACAAAGTGCAACCGAGAGAAATTGGGTGCTAAATATGGCGGACGTTTGTGTAGGTTCATAGTTAATTTTAGTGATTTTTTGGTAAAATTTCAAAATGCCGTCGTTTGGCCAGATTGTCATTGGGCCTCCGGGCTCTGGAAAAAGTACATTTTGTGCTGGGATGAGTGAATTTTTAACAAACTTGGGTCGAAAAGTGGCTGTTGTAAATCTTGATCCTGCAAACGATTCGCTGAGTTACAAATGTGCCGTGGACATTTCCACGCTTATCACTCTTGATGATGTGATGGAGAATCTTAAGCTTGGTCCAAATGGTGGGCTTATATACTGCATCGAGTATCTCGAAAAGAATCTTGACTGGCTGGAGAGAAAGCTGAAAGATCTGAAAGGGCATTACTTCTTGTTTGACTGCCCTGGTCAAGTTGAACTGTACACTCATCACACATCTGTGAGGAATGTGGTCAGGCAGCTTGAAAAGTGGGACTTCAGAGTAAGTGAATGATAAGGCCTGTTCCGAATGCTGTTCTACTCAAGCGTTAAACCAGAAGCCTAGTAAGGCTGAAGAGCTTAATTTAAATCTGTTTGATTTGGCAAACAGTTAGTTGTTCAGGGGTATCTTGCAAACTAAGAGTAAAGACTTCGAAAACTAAGACTTTGAAAACTTGGAAAATTGATGAACTGGAAGGTATTCGAGGTCAGCACTCCTTGTTGGGATTAGTTCGTTTTAAGTGTCAAAGAGAACCAAAGACAGTTTATCAATAAGTTTCGAAGGTGTTGGTTTTTGAGGTCTTAGTTTTCCAGGTCTTAGTCTTAGATCCTAGTTTTTGAGACACCCAGATGTTTGGCAAAGTCCTTCATATTGTGCAAAATTTTCAGCAGCCACTCATTCACTCAGTGTTTTGTTGTATGCTGGACCTAATGCATTGAGTTGGATGATTTTTAATCTTACCAGATATCTTCAAATTTTGCCATTATTCAAGAACATGTGCCCCAAAGTCAAAGCCATCCACCCCACCCCCTGTCTGTGCAGAGTATGGCAGATGTATTACATGTTTTACACCTCAAAATCGCCTTTGCATGCTTGAGATCTTGTCATGTTTGGCCTATTTTCTGGGCTCTTTTTATTTTCAATTTAGATAATTATTCAGTTTGGTGCAGTTTTGTGTTCCTTCTTGTTTGGGTAACTGGTTCTCTCTAGAACTTACATGAATAGAAAGCTAATCATTTTTAAGTGATTTGTATTGAATACATCATGTTTATCCTTTCACAGCTTGCTGCAGTCCATCTTGTTGATTCACATCATTGCAGTGATCCAACAAAGTTTATTTCTGTTCTTCTCACATCCTTGTCAACCATGATTCATGTTGAGCTCCCTCATGTTAATGTCCTTTCCAAGATTGATCTGGTAGAACAATATGGAAAGCTAGGTGATTGACTATTTATAATACATATAATGATATACATGAAAAAATTACACATGTTTGATTTGCTTAAAATGAGTGCATTTTCACTTAACTCAAGTGTCATTCTTTTTGCATGTAAATTATTATCAAGTAACAGCATGATTTCTCCTGCAGTTTGGTGTAAATATGCTCTTATTCATTTTTCAAAGACTAGTGTTGTCTTAGAAAAATTTGCTTGTACTAATTAACATTATGTTGCACTTAAAATCATGTTATTACCTATATTAATGTTGGTCACTCTGTGACCTTTTGTTAGGCAAGACACAGTACTCTCACTACATGCATCTCTCTGTTCAAGAGTATAAATGTAAATGAATGCCAACCTGTCTGGGTAATGTGGTCAAGTGATGGGTGAGAGACAGCAGATGGGAAGCCTGTGATTAATATTCAAACCAGGGGAATTAAAAATACTTAAGGGATAAGCACTGGCAATTTAAGGCCACTTGGCCAGTAAAACGTGTGATTATTGAAGAAAAAACATTTAAAATGGGATATGTGACAGGGTTCCTAGTAAAATTGCTCTTCAGTTTAGGAAGTTTAGAGCTGAAGACACTCAGATTGATCTGGCATTTATTTTCTGTTGTAATTCAAAGTTAAGTGTAAGATGACCACCAGAACAATGGACCAACATATCATATTTGTAGATTAGATGTTAGATTCAAATGACTTTGTTTCTGCTTGAACTAATGATTTAAGGAAGATGCCATTGGAAATGTAAATATGTTTTCTCTGAGGCAGTAGTGTGTTGGCAATGCTTGAGTCTTTTTTTCTGGAATTTTATTGTTGACTTCAATTATTTTGATTTCTTGTTAGCATTCAATTTAGACTTTTATACAGATGTTTTGGATCTGAATTTTCTCCTGGATCACATCAAAGATGATCCATTTACTCGAAAGTACAAAAAGCTGAATGAAGCATTAGTGGGTTTAGTTGAGGACTATGGCCTGGTGTCTTTTAAAACACTGGATATACAGGTGATTGCTGAAATATTAGTGGAAATAGGCCTGTTTTGTACTTGAAGTTTTGTTTTTTGTTGCTGCTTTTGTCAGGATCTCTTTGTTCAAAGTATAAAGCTTGTAGAGCAAGCAGAATAAAGCAACCTCACTTGAAGTGGCAAGGGGGAAACATGTCAAGCTTGCTTTTTTATGCACCTGATAGTTAGAAAAAAGTGGTGTGAGTTTTCTTGACCAATCACAGAGCACTGCAAACCTAAAGTGCTACAATCTCAGATCATTTTCATTTTGTTTTAGTCAAAGGAGAGTATGTATCAGGTGACCAAATCTATTGATCAGGCTAATGGTTTTGCTTTTGGTGAACTTGAGGATGACAGAGGGAATTTCAGTAACCTAATGTCTTCAGCTGTAGGAACAGATTTTGAATTTTTTAGGTAAGTTTATTTACCTAAGCACTGTCAAGTGTCATATGTATAATTTGTTTCTCTCCCTATCCATTCCTTCATTCATTTATTTGTGTTATTAGGTTTGAGACGGAAGGAAAAATAGTGAACTTAAGAATGCTAAAAATGTCTTTGACTTTGCTTTTGTAAGGACAAAGTCAAGATCATCTTCATGTCCCAAGCTTTTAAAATTAGAGTTTTAATACATTTGGTCCTATTATCTGAACAAATGTTGTTTTTAAGTCATGTTAAAACTTTAAAGCTTCTTTAGTAAAAATTTCCTTTACAGAAAAGTAATAATTTTTCAAAATTTTCAATGATATCAGTCAAATTTATTTGGAATACCATAGCGAAAGATTGACTTAATGCCCAATAAGGAATATCCAGGGGGTATACTCTAGGACATTGCACACAGGGAAGCAGCACACCCCAGGGGTTATAGGTGTCAACAGCCCAGTTCCCCATCTGCCTTAACAGACTCATCACCAACCAAATAAAATAACTTTTTGATGGTGTTCAATTTTTTAGGACGGCAGCAATTCAAGAGAAGTACATGAAAGATGAGGATGAAAACTCCTAGAAAAATAATGGCTCAGTAGTGTTCATTAAGGACAAGAAAATATCCTGCTTTGGAGAGAAGGCATTACTCAAGGTGTTGATGCGAACAAACTCGATGTGGTGAAAAGAAGAGATGAGAGCGAGACATGGACTCGCTTTTATGTCTATTTACAATTAGATCTAACTTCAAGGAAGAGGCGACACTGATAGCCCTTGAGTCCCTAAGAGTTAGTTCATTTTCCCTACAATATCATCCCTGAATCAAACATTAAGGTCGGGAGAATAAAGGAAATGATCACCACCTAAAGAAGCTCTTGATTGTTAAACAAATTCTCCTTGTCAGCACCTTAGGAAATGTATACAGAACAGTAGGGAGAATATGCATACTGATGCTAAGCATACTTAGGGTTAGGTGCTAGTAATTACTTGACTGCTCGCTATTTTATGTGGTCCTTTAGCACTGTGGAGTTTATCACAGACTCCTAGCTTCGAAATATTTTTATGTAAATAGTGTGGGCAGCCCAGGCTCCGTACAACGTATTAGCACTGAAAAAACTCCAGCTAAACATCACAAAGGTGGAAAAATTCGTCTTCGAAACCGATAATTTTTCATTCACTTTCCTTGCATTTAGAGTTAGACTAAGGGTTAGCCAACTCATGTGACGAGAATAACTGTCTAATGCAGTACGTGGCTGATTCTTTGGATCCGCGCGTTTTAGCATACCTAAATTATAAGATTTGTTTGTTAAGGATTTAAAAATTGTAGCACCCAGGATCTCCTTCCTTTTGCTACGCCAAGGAGTATAAACCATCAACTAGTTTCCCAATGAAAGCGCTACAAGATGCATAGGTGTTGACTGTATTTTATTCGTATGTTAAATGCGATTGTTTTGATCTTGATACAGATTTATGAGAAACGTAATTAAAACCTCACCCAACGTACGAAATTATTTTCATGACAAAGATTACTTGTCTGCTTTCCTAACTAACTGATTAAGATATCCAACACACGAACAAGAAACGCTTTTACTATTAAAATGAGAGGAAGGTAAATGATACGCGTCGTCGCAAAAAGTACTCAAGTGGAAAAAGGGGGTAAAAATTTTCAAATTTTCATTTACACGTGACGTAGATGAATATATGTTTTATTTCAGTGGCTAAATTGTTTCGTTTCCCTTCGTCAGTAAGTCAGTAGAGTCAGTTCACCCGTCCGTCAGGCCAAGAGCCAGGTGGCGTAAACTCCCTGGGTCACGTTTGGCCCTTTTACTTTGGCAGCTGCTTCTTCAGTGATAATTCTATCAGCAAGACTTTTTTCAGATCTTCAAGGACTTTATCACCTACCAACTTGAACGCATATTCATCCTGCTTATGGGCCATCAATGCCTTGATCTGTTTAACAAGATCTAAGAGAGTAACAAGTGAAGAACGGAGTTACTCTTATTGATTCATTTTATCACCATGGCGCCAGTTCTAAGTGGCATGCTGAGGTCATAAATACCACGATGTTTCGGTCAGTTAAAAGAGACATTTGTTCGAGTGAAAAAGACTGATACAAACCCATTTTTTGTTTGGCACCCAACATCAGGAGCATGTGAACCTTTCCAGTTAGTTGTATTGCCTATGAAATTATAGGATGATTAAAACAGGTGTTAGGTTTGTTTTCTTTCTTTCTCCTTAATTTGGAGAGGAGAGTATTGCTCTTAGAATGTTGAAATACGTATCTCTTATTAACAACTTAATGCATTATCAAGAAATCTTCGCTGAAGGGATATACAAGTAATTCAATGACATTTAAATAAGGAATTCCCCAGATGCTTACCGATTTGATAATTTTCAGTTGAAGCAGGACACTGGGCACTAAACATACAAAGAGAAATACCAAGTTAACGGAAAAAGGAAAAAATGGGTGAAAATATTTACAGACAGAAAGGATAAAGGAGAGAAATATGGAAATGTTTGGGCGGAAAGGGAAAAGGGAAAAAAAAAGGGAAAAGGAAGAATAATATTAAGACTTTTATAATTGTTTTTGTTGTTGTTGTTTTTGCTTGTTTGTTTTTGTTTCGCTTTTACTGTGTACATGCCTCCAATTCCACTTAGTTCAATGGTAACTTTCAATTTTTTTTTCATGAATAAAGATCAGTGTTCTGAGTTATTCATTTTCTCTTTAAAGTTGTACGCTTTCTGGTAGTTGTCATTGCTATACGAACTTTGAAAGTAAAAAAAGATTTTATACACTTACCATCTCTGCACTGTTCCACCTTGCTCGTTTTAAGAACGATTGACAAGAATTTTTTCTTAAGGGAGTTTGGAGGCTTCTCAATGTTTTCAAGCAAGCCTGTGAACATGTAAGAAAACGCTAGTTACATGAGATGTAGTCTCGCAGGTATTTTTCAGAAAAAAAAATTGCTAGCTGTTATCCTGTTAACGAATTTTGTTGCTCAAATTAACAGATAACTTGTTACTAACAACAACAACGTAGGCGTATAGAAAGTTTTTTTTTCTTAGTGTGGCACAGAGGGCTATTTACACCATCTGGATTCCATTAGCCCTTTGTATACCAAGGGGGGTGGTATTTATTTGTCACAAAAATGAGTACATTATACAAGAATGCTTGTCAAGCCTGCTCTTTACAACAAAACCCTATAAAACTATATATATTTGGGAAGTGCATTAAAAATTTACTTTCACAACAATTATAGAAATTGACACATGTCAAAATTGTGACGTCACAATAAGCATAATTTGCATAATTATGCAAGTTTCTAAAGGAACTTTGAAATCACCAGCTCTAAACAAACAATTCCAACTTTTGGTTTCTTACTTGAAATTCTAATCACCTTTTAACACAATTTCAAAAGGTAAGAAATATTAATTAGGGCAATAACCCTCCTTTTAGAGAATTTAAGACAGATTAATAATTGCCTTTCATAAAGTAAAAATTGAGTAAAATATAAATGAAATAAGAAATATTCAAAAGATGCAAACAGTTTCTTTATCGGTTATATAGCCAATAGTTATGTACCACACTTGCACAAAACTATGCTCTCACATTAACCAAGAGTTAATTTCTTAATGATCTTCTTCTTCCTCTTTGATATGGCCTCCCTCTTCCTTCTTTTAGCCGACGGGGACCATTTCGACTTTCATCATCATAGTAAAAGTCTCGCAACGTGTGGTACCTTTGAAAACAAGGCTCAGGGCACATTCTAACACCACAAATTGCACAGCTGTATATTGTTTTCACTTTCTGGATATGGACCTTGCAAGTTAGTCTTGTTTCATTGCTCACAAGGTAATGGAAATGATCCCGGTTGAATCTTATGTCAGGGATAGCAACAGGAGTTTCCACAAATCCCGTGTCTCTTCGAAAGCACTTGCCTTGAACTAATGTGCTGACCAGCTCCTTTCTGAACTGCAGTGCTCTTAGACTGGAATGATTCTGGGATTTGGTGTGGAGAATGTGTGCATTTGATACACACACCTCTATCAAATAAAAAAACACTTTGTAATACCAGACTGACCCCTTCATAAGTCTGGCATATGCGACAGTTCGCTGGTCAGACACATCTACACCACCCATATAGGTGTTGTAGAGGTCAATAACACCTGGTCTAGAAAATTGCTTCTTCTCCCACTTCCCATTTACTTTTACTGACCGCTGAACTGGGCTCGAGTCCATTGTACTGGTGGGAAGGGTAGCTAACACACTAACTGGCTTCCTGTCACGCCATGTCACGCAAGTCAAATTTCCCTTTTGCCTGTACAAACACTCTCCTCTTTTAAGATCTTTCACTGCTTTTTCCTTCACACCACAAATCTCTCTTGGTAAGGCTACCCTGTTGGCCCGAACTGTGCCACATGCAAGGGTTTTTCTTTCTTCTAACTCTTCAAACAAAGCAACAGAAGTATAATAATTGTCCATGAAGGCATAAAATCCCTTATCTAGATAAGGTTGCAACACAGACATAACTGCCTTCCTTCCTAAGTCTTTCTGAACTTCATTATTCTCCTTGCCAGTATAAATCTTGCTGTTCAACACATAGCCACTGGTGGATTCTGCAAGTGTGAAAGCCTTTATTCCAAATCTTCCTGGCTTTATAGGGATTAACTGTCTGAAATGCACTTTGCCTTTGAACTTAATTAAAGTCTCATCTATGGCAAGTTGCCGCTCAGGGGTGTACACTTCCTGAAACCTTGCTATGACCAAATCTAGGAAAGGCTGGATTTTGTACAGCTTATTGTAGTCTGCGGAGTCGCGTGGGGGAGCAAGGGTGTTGTCAGCAAAGTGCAGATACCGCAAAATTTGTAGGAATCGAGTTCGGGACATCACGGATGGGAAGAAAGGAGAACTTAGGACAGGATCAGTACTCCAGTAAGAACTAAGGTTCGGTTTAGTAACCAGCCCCATATTTAGGTACAGACTAATCCAGGCCTTCATTTCACTTTCTGTGACTGGATACCAAACAGAGCTTTCTGTTGGCCCTCTCTTCTGTTCTGCATATAAATTAGTCTGAATAACTAACAACTGCCATACCTCTTGTGTGAAAAACAGCTCCAAAAAATCCAAACACGATTTCAGATTTCTTGTAGTGACATTTATTTCAGGTTCTTCACTAAACTCAATATCTACTCTGCGTCCAATTTCTCTAGACCAATCTTCCTCATCCAATTCCACTTCGTTGTCAGTGTGATCTTCCTCTTCCAACTCTTCGCTAGAATCGTCAGAGCTTGATTCCGATGCACCAGAGTAAAATTCCTCATCAGAGGCTCGATGCTCGATGAAATTCGCTAAAGGCAAGTCTTCTTCGTCGATAAATTGAATTTCAACATTGTTTTGATCGTCGAAATGTAGTTCAGCATCACCTTCAAGAGCCGCCATTTTTAAATCTCCCCGTTCAAAACGTCCAAATCACAAAAAGCCTCAAAATTCGCCCAAAAACAAGCTCGATGGAAGAAATCCTCGAAAAAACTAATTAACGACTTTATGTAATTTACATTGAAATGTAGTATTAGTTTCCAGCCCCTCAAAGTGCTCTTTTCAGGCCGCCCGAATGGGGTCTGTATTTAAGTGGCCATATATGGCCACTTGGTACGCAAAGGGTTAGTGTTAAGGAACATGGATGCGCTCATTACTATATGCGTCCGAGTTTCTTCGACCTACAGTTTCTATTCTTAATACATCAATTTATTGATCGGGATATATAAATTTATAGGCTAGAGGGTGCTGTAATGATCACTCATAGGACCCCATTTATATTTTAGCTTAAAACAGGTATGGTAACTTAGAAAAAGTAGACTTTGGAAGTTTTATGGAAAAAGGTTAAAAGAAAGCCCTGGATTAAACCTAGTGCAGGACTAAGATAGAGATACAGAATTATGATTGACAAAAGTTGTGTACCTTTGCGCTCTTTGCACGGTATATTTGGTCCATCAGTGAGGCCAAGAAACTCAATTACTTTATCTCCTAATTTAGGGAGAGGGTTCTCGCTCGGCTCTTTTCCATGCACTATCTTTCTGAGTAATTCAATCATACCTGAGAGAATAAACAAAGTAACGAGATAATTAGCTAATCAACTCATTTTCCGACACTCAAATCCATCCTTCGTGCCAACAAAAGGGTTCGGGAAGATAATATTGAATCAAACTCATCCTTTCTAAAGCTTAATTTTTTATTTTTTAACGCACTTTCGAAAACATCACTGTGACTTGAAACTAAAAGGTTCTCCAAAGTGATGTCACAGACGCTGGTTTTTAACGCAAAGTTCTCATTGATGCGTTTTAGTAAACTATTAAAGTAAGACAATATCTTTGTTTGAAATTTGTTGTTCCCTCGTCACAAGTAGTCTAGAGCAACATTGACTGGAAATCGCCCGTCTCTGTTGCAATGCAATTTGGGAGTGAATAGCACATCGTAAGCTGTTGCTTCTTTT